GAGAGAGAGAGAGAGAGAGAGAGAGAGAGAGAGAGAGAGAGAGAGAGAATTGCTAATTTAAAGGCTCTCCATCTCTATGGTATATCAATGAGTAGAAAAACTAGCATAGGAGCTCATAGGTAAAGGTGCTATCGTAAAGACGCATGCAGGCTCCTCATTTATGGGCAAAGCCGCAAGTGATGCGAAGACTGGCCTCTGCGCAGCTGAGGACGGGAATGTTAAGCAAGGTGTTAGTTAATTACTAAACATTCAAAGCTTAATTTTAAAATCAAAACAGTTGGCCAGGCTGGATGGCACATGCCTGAAATCCCAGCATTCAGGAGGCTCAGGCAAAAAGATTGCTGTGAGTTCGAGGCCAGCCTGGGTTACACAGTGAGTTCAAAGCCAGCCTGAACTACATAATGAGACCTTATCTGAAGGAAAAAGCTTAAGAAATGAAATCATAAACCATAAAAGGAGCTTGTATCCATTGGTTTGATTTTTGGAATCAGTGTAGGGACATTTTATTAATGGTAGTACGTTAAAAGAAAATTAAATATCTTTGTGCTGCTGCTTGGTCATAGACGAAATAAAAAGGCAAATGATGAGGCAAGGGAAAAAACTAATCCCTACAGATGACAAAAAAAGTTGATCTGAGAGTGATGTGGGAGGCCTGGCTGGGCCTGGGGTCTTTGCTGTGTAGTGTACTGGTTCCTGTGAGAAATGACTCATTCTAGGACCAGAGAAGAAAAGGGACAGGACAGTCCTCGAGCATCTTACAGCATAAGAAAGAAAAAAAGCATCCAAACAACACAGAAGGGGAGGGGAGCTGGGAGCCAACAAGAGCCCCAAAGACCAAAGCTGAGCTTTAACAGGGTCGCTAACAAGTTGCAGGAGAAGTGTAGGAGTCCATGCTGGTACGAATAAGTGACTGAGTAAAGCAGTAACAGAGGAAGAAGAGAGAAATCTTTTGCACACAGAATTATGAATATATACAATATGTACACGGTGGGGGCTTTGGGACGGAGCCCAGGGCCTTGCGCGCGCTCGACATGGAGCTACCCCAGCCCAGAATTTCACATAACTTGGAGGCAAGGGACACAACTTGCTCCCTACAATAGAAAGAAGCTGTGCCCTCATTTTAGTGAGAATATCCAAGGTTGGTGGGCATGGAGAGAGACCCCCCACACCCTGGTGAGGCCGATACAGGAGCAGCCTCTGGAAAGCAGGCACGGAGCTCTCCTGAACCAACCATGGCCGTGCTTTTTAACTGGAGCTCTCTGCTAACAGCAGAATACCAGACACAGATTTGGCAGTGAGATTCTCACTTCAGCCTTATTACAGAGGAGAGTTGTAGCAACAGTCTTAGAAATGAGCAGCAGCCAAGAATGGAGAGCCACAAACATCATCGTAGGTAGTGGACACTGCAGCTGCTCCTGAATGCCAGGGAGATAGCAGCTTTTCCCTGGTTCAGGGGTTCGGTGGACCCTCAGCAGATAGAGCACCTGCCAGGCAGGCACAAGCAGTTGCCGCGTACACCTCCAGCCTCGTCTTGGGCATCTGGATTCTTGATACCCTGTCTGTAGGAGCATCAGCTGCTGCAGGTGTTGCCCTGGAAACTGGGCTGTTCTGAAACTTCCTGCTTAAGTGAGCATGGGTTCCTGTTTATCCTTGTTGTCTTGAATGCCCCTGTGCCTCCCTTGAGGCCCAAGACAGCCACTCCCTCCTGCTCGGCCACCTTCCCCACGCTGGCCAGGCTCTGGTTCTGCCCCTGTGATCTGTCCCCGTGTTTCTTCCAAGTCAACTGTTCATCCCCAGGGGACAAGTATTCTGCTCCTCTCAGAATTTCTGCCCACCTGGGTGCTCTGGATATATGTGGAGTGTTAGTGTTTTCTATCCAGCAGAATGCGCTCACTTTTCCTCCACAGCGAGACCAGACCCAAGAGCTTGAACATAGGTGGCTTCCGTATTGCACCAGCACTGCCCTGGAAGACTGGAGAGGGGCCACACGAGGAGCCCCGAGACCGCAGATGAGAGAAACCTTGCTGCCCTCAGCCTGAGGCATGAAGCTGGAGCATCCCCCTCCCATTCCAAGGTGCCAGGGTTTTGCTTTCCACCCACTTTAATTCCTGATTTTCTTCCTTTTGCTTCTAGGAGAAAAAGATGTCATCATATTGGGGGATTTTGGCCAAGGGCCAGATAGCAGTGATTACGATATCCTGAGGAGAGAAAAGTTTCACCACCTCGTCCCTGCGCACACCTTCACCAACATTAGCACCAGGAACCCCCAAGGCTCCAAGTCCCTGGACAACATCTGGATCAGCAAAAGCCTAAAGAAAGTGTTCACAGGTAAGGAGGGCAAAACTCGCCCCCTTTCCTCCTGTTCCAAAGTAGAGACTGGGACCTGAGTCCTGCCTGACAGATATGGGCCCCTCCACGGGCATTTGTGGGCAGTGACATAGGTCACTTAGCCTGCATCAGAGACCCTGTGGTCCTGGGGCTGGTGCCTAAGGCCTCACACGTGCTAGACAAGTATTCTACTCCTCAGCCCAGCATAGGGTCTCTGGCGAAAGAGGAGAAGGATAGTGTTTTATAAAGTCCCAGCAGATCCATATTAATCTTCAACAAAACATGTAGCACTGCGGGAAGAGCAGTGCCCACGTCCCCACGTGAGAGCTTACATGCACAGCCAGGCTGATGTCCTTAGTCTGGACTTCATCACAGCCCCTTCCTTTGGCCGCTGGTTTCCTGTGGGGACTCTCTGGGGACCTGACAGGGACATCATCATCAGAGCAGGGACCGCCAGCACCCCAGAGGGTAAGAGAGAACAGGGCGGTGAGAGGAAGAAAGAGATCCGTCCGTGTCCCTGGCTTGAACCAGCTTCCACACCCTGTAGATCTGACCCTGACCCTGACCCTGACCTTGACCTGATCTCAGGACCCAGAACCCCCACCGTGTCTGCAGCAGCCTGTGATTGCTTCTGAAGTTGCCATGTAATTGCTAGCAAATAGACCCCCTACTTCATGTGTGTCTAAGTCTTTACCTTTTTCAAAATGCTTTTTCTTTCTCATAAGCCTAAATTTCTCTTTCCAAGTCTTTCTATAGAAAGAATTCACCATCCCCCTGCACCTCCTTCCTTATTTTGCTGTGGCTGGGGATATCTCCGTGAGGTGTCTAACCCCCTATCAAGTACTTCTGGGTTTTGCAGTACTAGGGCTGGAACCCAGGCCTTTGCACTGAGCTATCTCCCTGGGCCCTATTTTTAAAATTTTTATACAGAGCTTCCTTACATTCTTCAGGCTGGGCTTGAATTTGTGATCTTCCTGCCCCAGGCTCCCAGAGTGCTGGGGTTACAGGTGTGCACCACCATGCTTGGCTCAAATACTTAGTTTTCTGGTCAGACTCATAAATGATGCTGGCTCCCTGGTGTACGGGGATGGGCAGGAGGCCTGGCCTTTGGGTAGCTTCAGTGCCTAAGGAGTGAACCCTTGATTGCAGAAAGTTACTTTGGTCGTTTGTGTGTGTGCCTGGGACTGCACCAGATGTGCAGCACAGCCTGCAACCCTGCTGTCCTGCTCTGACTTCTGGGTGTCCCCCCACTCCAGGTCACTGGGCCGTGGTGAGAGAAGGACTCACGAACCCATGGATCCCAGATAACTGGTCCTGGGGTGGAGTGGCTTCTGAGCACTGTCCTGTGCTGGCCGAGTTCTACACAGAGAAGGACTGGGGCAAGAAGGACGGGCCTCGGGACAACACTGGGGTCACCCTGGAGCGCAGCGAAGCCAACATCAAGCAGGAGCGATGATGACAGCCGCATGGATGTCTCCCCTGTGGTCTGGAAGGGCACAGAGGGGAGCAAGCCCTTCTCACCTCCTTCAGGACGTGCACACCTCACTCCTGCGTGGGGTGGATGGCACTGCTTGAGGACCTCTCTAGGGCAGGCTGTGGCGGTCCCATCAGAGCCTGGGAGAATGTATCACACCGAGCTCAGCAGAAGGAGTCTGGCCATCACCAGGCTGGTGGCTGGGGGAGGACAGATGGACAGCAGCTGAGGTAGAGAGGAGAGAGGAGAGGTGTTCTCCCGGCCACCAGTATGCAATGCTGTTCCAGCCGACCGCAAACTGCAGAACGCTTTTAACTGTGATTAGCACTCTTCTCAAGGACTTTGAGTGGTGATTTTTAGTTTTGTTTTGAAAAAATAAACAGATGAACCTGCCTGGCTACCGTGAATGTGAGACCAGTCCGAGAGGCTGGGGGAGGGCGCCCAGATCCTTTCTCTCACCTGCCCTTCACTTCCGGCCTGTAGCCCTGAGCTGCGCACATTTCTGCACACCCCCATGCCAGCCCCTCAGCCCTGACTCCCTTGCTCGGCTCTGTAGCAGCGGTTCTGCTTCTGCACACTTCCTGGAGCACAGAAATTCTATCCTGAGGACATCATGTCTTCCTGCTTGCCATCAAATACCTAGCCCAGAGGCTCCCTCTGTTGTTCAGAGTGGAGCATAGCTGTCCATAGCCATGAGAATTTACAGTTGGCTTCCACCTCTACAGACTCTAACAACCTGAGATCAAAAGTATTTTTTTAAAAAATTGCATAGGTGCTAAACACACAGGCTTTGGTTCCTTTGCGGTTATCCCCTAAACAATACAGTATCACCACTATTTTCCTAGCATTATGTTGTATTAGCTATCATAAGTCATCTACAGATGATTAAAATTTATGGGATTCTAGGCCTGGTGGTCAATCAATGCCCTTAGTCCAAGCTACTCAGTAGGCTGAGGCAAGAGGATTACTTCAGTCCAGGAGTTCAAGGCCAGCCTGGGCAACATGGTGAGACCCTGTCTCAAATAATAATAAAGTAGACTATGTGCATGTTACAGGCAAATGTTGTGCCATTGAATGTAAGGAATGTGATCATGCCTGGATGTTGGTGTCCCCAGGGAGATCCCTGTCACCATTTGTCTCAGTTACCTTTTACTTGTTGCTGGGACAAAATACCTGACACCAAAAAATAAGGAAGGAAAGGTTTATTTAGTTCACAGCTTGTGGAGGTTTCAATCTATACTCGGCTGGCTCCCAGGCAGAATGGCACATGGCAGAGAGCAGCAATTCATTGGAGCAGAAAACAGCAAAGAGCAAAGGGAAGGGCAGCAGCTGCAGCTTCTAGCAAGCTTTTCTCCCCTCCTTATATTATAAAACAAGCTACCCTGGCGCTGGGGGTGTAGCACTCACACAATGTCCATGCCCTCCTCTTGCACAGGATGAGGATGTTTACCAACTAAGAATCCTGGCTCCCCGCTGAATCACTTAAACTTCTAAACTTCTCAAGTTGACACAGTGTATCATCCAGTACAATCCACCCCTTGTCAACCTGGCAACCAGACATTTTCTTAAAGGAGTTTCCAGATGCATAGACATGCTTATTAACATTTCACAACTTGAACATTGTATTACATTAGAAACATGACATTTTGCCCCTGGGAGCCCTCTCCCCAAAGACTCATGAACATCCCTTGTACACAAGGCATTCTTGTCCATCTCTAAGAGTTGCCAAAGTCCTAACAGTTTCAGCAATTCTGAAAAGTCCAAGTCCCAAGCCTCCAAGATCTATGTCAAACTCTTAGCTGTGAGCCCCTGTACAAATGAAAAGTTAAACACTCCAACATTCAAAGGCACAAGATAAACATTAGCATTGTAAAAGGTATACAGAGCAGGATACAAACCATTGGGAAGATCGGGGTCGTTGCTCTGACTCTACCTGACAGTGTGGCATACAAGCTTTTGGGAATGGCTTATGGGAAGAGACAGGAAAGGTTTAGAGATGTCACCTACTTACAAAGTGCTGGAACAGCTTTAGCTGTTCTGTTTGGGAGATTCTGGTCAGAGCTCAGAAGACCAAAAGACTTTTGATAAAAAGCCGGCCTGTAAAGACCAGGCTGGGGAGGTTTCTGCTGGGAAAGACTATATTGGTTGTTGGATTCCAGATAATTTGTCTTATGGCTTGGCAAAAAGTTATTCTGCATTTTGCTCCTGTCCAGAGACTGCCTGAGACTAAGATTAAGCACAGTGGACTAGTTAATCTTGAAAAAGAGATTTTAAAGCAGCCAAATATTGGGACAGTGGCATGGTTGTTGTTGGGGCATTTTAATCAGATTCATGTTGAGAGTCAAGATCAAAGAGCCCAGAAGGATGATTTAAAATGTTGTGGGCTTGGCCATAAAGAAAGCTTCAATAAAACTGTGGGATTGGGCCAGGGAGATAGCTCAGTGGAATAAGCACTTCCCTGGCAAGTGCAAGGGCCTGAGTTCAATCCCCGGCTCTGCAAAAAAACAAAACAAAACAAAACAAAAATCAACTATGGGATGCAAAGATAGAACTGAGAGGATCTCCATTGCCAAAAAGGAACAGGAGAACAAAAGAGATGTCCTGAGGGCATCACAGGAGATGGCAGGTTCTTGCCCTTTGCAGCCTCAGAATTGTAAGAGTGAGAGACTTTGCTTTGAGGAGAAAGCTGCCGAGCCCCATGTTCCAGAATGGAGGCAGCAGTCACACCAGTACACCATTCCTTTGGGAATAATGAAGGATGGCTGTTTTCTGACTCAGTATGCAGGAAGCCAGGGCAGGAAGATTCTGTGTGATTGGGGTTGGCTTCTCCCTTAGGCAGATCATAACACCATCCCCTCAAGACTAGGATGATAGTACCCACTTCACATTCCCTGAAAATCACCCTGCCAGTAAAGACATGAATGGGAACTGTGGTGGTCAGGATGGAGGGCCAACTTGATTGGCATTGTACCCTCTGGGGAGACTGGTGGAGCACAATTCTGGTGTGCTTGGGTGGGACGTGGAAGCGTGACCCTGGGGGTCTAGGTCTGGTCCTGGCCCTTTGCTCGCTGGCCCTCCTCCCCTGCCCTGCTTCCTGGCTACTGTGAACTAGGCAGCTTCTGTCCTGCAAGCCCTTCCCCCATGATGTGCTTACCTGCCAGCCAGCCAATCAGGGACCGAATTTCTTGCACTGTGAGCCAAATCAAGCCTCTCCTCCTTTATATCATGAGTGTGGGCATTGTGCCCCAGCAAAAGCTGCCAACCTCTGGACCCCACTGCCATACTCATATCCCATCTTTATGTCCAGTGTCAAGGGGCATAATGCCAACTTTATCATAAAGGCACATTATTATGGATACATAAAACTCATGCTTATCCTTCAGAATATTTCTATTGATGAAGTATTAATTTTAATTTTATGAGTTTTATTATATCAAATAATGAGCTCTTAACAGGCAAAAATTTAAATAATATAAAGTACTGAATATTTAATATTTATTGAGTGTTTATAAAAAAGCATCAAATCTTCAAAGTTGACTTTTTTGGGTGTATGTCTAAATAACAGAAGTAAATTTCTCTATGAACCAGAATGAAAAGACAAATAGAACTCTACAAAACAAAATCTTTACTTTCATTATCACACATAAGCCAGTCTTCACACATGATGACACAATGTTCCACATATATGTAGAGCTTATGCTGACAGCACATGGGTTTTACTGTCCTGACATTGTTTTTAATTTTTTTTTATTTATTTGTTTGGTACAGGGTCTTGCTATGCAATTTAGACTCATAGTGATCTTCCTGTCTCAGCCTCCCCAGCGCTGTGATTACAGGTGTGTGCCACCATCCTAGTTTGTGTGGCTGGCACAGTGCACCTGGGGTTCTGGCAAAGGCACAGCATGCAGTACCAGGGGTCAAACCCCGGTCCTGGCACTTGCCAGGCAGTCGCTTAGACCACTGAGCTATCTCCTCAGCCTTTCTTCACCTTTTTGAAGGACATTCTTGACATCTTGCTGATCTTTCTGTGTTTTTTTTTTTCTTACTGTTTTGTTGAGTTATTATATTATGTAATGTGTGGTTGACAGGAACATAAAATATTAGTAAAATAAAATATTATATTCTTCATGTGTATTGCACATTTAGAATAAACATCAACATTTTCATATTAGCTGTGTGCCTGCATGCAAATCTAAAAGGTAACATGAGAAGTAACTTCATATATCAATTATGATGAAAATAGCAGTAGACCTCTACAACAACAACAATCTTTGTGGGCTGGCAAGATAGCTTAGTGGTCTAAAGTGCCCGCTTAGGCAAGCTTAGGCAAGCTATAGGGACGACAGTTCAATAATTGGCACCACATGCTGCGCCAGTCCCACCCCCAGGGTAGGCCAAGTCAGCCACACACAAAAATCAGCAGCCACAGCAGCAGCAGCCGCAGCAGCAGCAGCAGCAGCAGCAGCAGCAGCAGCAGCAGCAGCAGCAGCAGCAGCATCTGTTTCGGTGATCACACCCAAGATGGTCTTCACACGTGACCACTGCATGTTCTGCACACACATCTTGCTCACATTGAAGCACATATATCAGCTGTCCTTTCACATGTGGAAGGCCCTTCTCATCACCTGTCTTGCCTTCCTCTGTTTTCAGGAGCTTTGTATAATGTGCTGTCAGCAGGAGAATAAGATATCAGCAAAATAGAATATCAAATATGTAATAACTGAACACAACAGATATCAGCATTTTCATATCAGTTGTGTACTTGCTTACAAAACCTAAAAGATAACCTCAGAAATAAATACCTATTGGACTGCAACATAAATACAAACAAAGGTCTACCACAGACATAGTCTTTGCCTGTCACACCCAAAGCAGTCTTCACACATGCCAACTGCATGTTCCATCACAAGTATGATTTTCACTGATAGCACGTATGTTTTGTTTTCTTGTCATTTCCTGTAGGAGACAGTTGACCTCTGTTTGATTTTCCTGTTTTCATGGTAGGTCTCTGGGATGCTGCACCTACCTGTTCACCTGTCAGTTCAGCAGTGTGCTCCGCAGTTATTTTGCATAGTTCCCTGGACAGAATCATTTTGGTTTTCCTCTGCTATAAATGATCTCTTATGAGCTGCAGTACTATGCAGCCCAAGTTGGCATCAAACTCATGGTGATCCTCCTGCCTGAGCCTCCCAAGTGCTGGGATTACAAGCATCAAGCATGCAAAACCATACCCAGCTTGTACTTGATGTGTCTTGCTGTTTCTCCCCCTCCCATTCTCCTCCCTTCCCTGCAACTCCTCTCCCCTCAAGGCCTATATTATCTTTCTGAAATCCAAAGATTGCACTACACAGTTCTTCTCTTGGAATTGCAACATTTCACTTGGAATTTCTGCTTTGTT